GTAAACCGGAGGTCGGATCCTGGAGGTGGCTGGCGCCGATAGAGCCCAGAAAGCCGTCCAACTGGCTGCGAGGCTCAGGGAGGTGCTCGAGGAGGTTCGTGTCGCTAGGCCGCAGAGATGCGTGGAGATGCGCATCTCTGGCCTGAGCGACTCGGCCTCCAAAGAGACGGTGGCGGCGTCGCTGGCAGCAGAGGGGGGCTGCTCTGCCGACGCCATAACGGTCGGCGACATCAATCGCCCATCTGGCCGACAGGGCACTGCCTGGTTGCGGTGCCCTGTTGAGGCGGCCAGAAAGCTGACTGATGGTCGCCGCATCGTCGTCGGGTGGTCAGTGGTCAAGCTGACCACCCTGGAGCCCAGGCCGGTGCGGTGCTTCCCGCTTGCCTCGAGCCCGGGCACGTCGGGGCCAGGTGCACTGTGGCCACTGACCGCAGTGCGCTCTGCTTCCGCTGCGGGCAGGCCGGCCACAAGTCGGCCACCTGCTCCGCAGAGCCCAGCTGCCCCGTCTGTTCGGCGGAGGGTGCAGCGTCCGGCCACCGGCTTGGGACGGCCGAATGCAAGGCGGCCTCCCGTAACAGGGGCCGCAAGAGAGCTGCAGGGGGGGCGAAACCCACACAATCGCCCACCCTGCCGCCAAATGAGGAGGTGATGGACACCGCCCAAACTTAATGGCTCAAATCTCCATACTGCAGGCCAACGTCAACCACTGCGTCACGGCTCAGGACCTTCTGGCCCAATCCATGGCGCAGTGGCAGACGACAGGGCAGTAGTCGCCGAGCCGTACTACGTTCGCGACGGCCCCAATTGGGCCAGCGACCACAACGGCTCGGTGGCTATCGTCGCCCAGCGAACGGCTCCTCCCTTCGACATAGTGCGAAGGGGCCGAGGATGCGTACTCGTCGCGTTGGGCGGCGCTGCAGTAGTTGGGGTGTACTGTCCGCCTAGCAGAAGTCTCGCCGAGTTCGAGCAGTTGCTCACCGAGGTCGGGGCTCTGTTGGCGGAAGTGCATCCCACCCCGGCTGTGGTGGCCGGGGATTTCAACGCTCACTCACGGGCGTGGGGATCTCCGGCGACCGATAGCCGAGGGGAAATGGTGGAGGAGTGGGCGGTGTCCCAAGGCTTGGTGCTGCTGAACCGAGGGTCGGTCCACACGTTTGTGAGGGCCCAGGCCGGATCCATAGTCGATCTTTCTTCGCGAGTTCCGGCCTGGCCCCTCACATACACAACTGGCGGGTGGTCGGGGGTCGTGGAGACTTCGTCGGACCATCGGTACATCCGATTCGACGTCGTCCCTGCTGCCTCGGCTACTCGTGTGGCACTGGACCGCCCTGTGGTAGGGGAAGGTCTGCGGTGGCGGCTCGGAACGTTGGACCGAGAGCTAGCCCGAGAGGCGGCTATCGTCGAGCGATGGGCTGCCGTCGAAAGCGGCCAGGACGTGGACGCGAGATGCGAGCGACTCGCTGGAGCGCTGACTCGCGTCTGCGACGCGGCGATGCAGCGGGCGAGACCTATCCCGCCTCGGAAGCAGGTGTACTGGTGGCGTCCCCACCTAGCCGGGCTGCGTACCGCAAGTTACGCGGCCCAGAGACAGTACACCCGCAGCCGAAGGCGAGCCGTCAGAGACCTCGCCCGCGAAGAAGAACTGCATGCCGCGTACCGGGCTGCCCGTGAGGCCCTCAGCTCGGCGATCAAAGCCGCCAAGGACGAGGCCTGGAAAGAGTGGCTCGAGAGCCTAGATCGAGATCCGTGGGGGCGCCCGTACAAGACTGTGAGTCAAAAACTCCGGCCTTGGACGCCTCCCCTCACCAGAACTCTCGAGCCGCGCTTTCTGGACCGAGTGGTCAGATCCCTCTTCCCTGCGAGGGAAGAGTGGGTCCCGCCGCGGATGGCAGCACCATCAAGCCAGGTGCCGGCAGACGAAGGGGCAATACCTCCCGTGGACGACGCCGAGTTAGGGGCCGCGATACTGGCACTCCGGTCCAGGAATCGCGCCTCGGGCCCGGACGGCGTACCCGGGAAGGTTATTGCCACTGTCATGCCCGCACTAGAGGAGGAGACGCTGTCCCTCATGTCGGAGTGCTTGGCGTCGGGAAGAGTCCCGCGACGATTGAAGACCGGCAAGCTCGTGCTGCTCAGAAAGCACGGGCGCCCAGCCGAGTCTCCGTCGGCCTACCGCCCCATCGCTCTGCTCGACGAGATGTGCAAGCTCTTTGAGCGAGTGCTCGCTGCACGTCTTGTCGGCCACCTGGAGGGGGCGGGGCCCAACCTGAGCGATGGCCAGTTCGGCTTCCGTCGCGGGAGGTCGACAATCGACGCAGTATCCCGACTGCGGGACAGCGTCGACGAAGCGGTCTCTGGGGGTGAGGTGGTGTTGGCTGTGTCGCTGGATATAGCCAACGCCTTCAACACCCTCCCCTGGGAGACCATTGCGGAGGCGCTGAGGTACCACAATGTCCCGTGGTACCTCAGGCGCGTCCTTGCGGACTACTTCGTGGACCGGGCCATCATCTACCCGGCCCAAGGTGGGGTGGTCCGCAGGGACATGTCTTGCGGCGTTCCACAGGGGTCGGTCCTTGGGCCGCTCCTGTGGAACGTAGGCTATGATTGGGTCCTGCGCGGTGCTAATCTTCGGGGAGTCGGCGTACTCTGTTACGCCGACGATACCCTAGTCACCGCGCGGGCCCCAACATTCCGCGACGCCGCCGTACTCGCCACGGCAGGCGTCGCTCATGTAGTGCGTCGCATCGGGGCGCTCGGCTTAACGGTCGCCCTGGAGAAGTCTGAGGCCATCTTCTTCCACGGGCCTCGGCAGACGCCGCCTCGAGATAGGTCGATCGTGGTGGGCGGCATCCCCATCGCTGTCGGGAACAGTGTGTGGCAGTGACGCGGCAGTCGTCGTCCGAGCAAGACGAAAGCCCACGCACACATAGGGCCGCGCGCACAACTGAGTTGAACTATCTATAAACAGATTGCATTAATGACAGTACTAATTTGAGTATAAGAATTACATTTGTAATTAGACCTATAATATACCATGTACTCTACGGACACTACGGGATAATAAACTGCCACTTAAACTTATAACATCTCTTTATTTAATAGCTGCCCCCCACCCTAGATTAAAGGTCTAGCGCTGACCGAGCTGTTCGAGGCATACACACGAGGCTAAACTAAATATAGTTTATTCATTTATTTGGAACATAGATTACATTAACACTACATTAACATTAACATTTAAAAAAAAACATTTTTTTTGAATTTTTTAATATTACACGTTGTCATTGTCGTTGTTGTCGTTGTTGTCTTACATCGCGCTGAAAGAGGGCCTTAATAAAAAGCTTAATAAATTATATTTCCAACCGTTTATTGGTCTCATCAGTATACATTTACAAAGCAGGTGCTTAAGACTTAACCTTAGAAGTAGAATTACACAAGGTAACGCAGTAGTCATTATTTAATATTTCATTTAATGCAGCAAAATTATAATATTACTCTTAATGCTACTTAGCAACAATCATATACTCTTTTAAACAGATTTATATTATATCATTATACATTAATAAAATTTATATAAAAGAGGAGCGCCGAGCGCTCGCGCATCGTGCGCTCCTTTCTAAACAAGATTACGCTAGGTAGGTTATGGCACTCGAATAAAAAAAGGAGCGGCCGTCGCGTCTTAGGGCAGGCTCAGGAAGTAGAAGGCGAGGAAGGACACCGCGTAGAACAGGCCGCTGAACGCCAACATGGCGCGGACCGTGGCGCGCTGCAGGCGAAGAGCGCGCACCCCGCCCGCGCCGCGCCCCCCGCCCGCGCCGTACGACGCGTCCGAGCCCCGCCGCCCCGCACACCGGGCCCCGTTGTTGTAGCGCTCCGTGTTCAGCACTTTACGCGCCAGCGCCTTGGCCGAAGTCTTGTCGCTCGGCGTCGTCGGCGCCAGGTTGGCGGCGCTCACCCGCGCGGAGCTCTTGGCGAGCGCCTCGCGAGTCGCGCCCGGCCCGAGCGCCTCCGTCCTCTCCGGTGTGGGCTCGTCCGCCAGCGCGAACTGCGGCCGCGGAGCTCGCTCGGGCGTCGTCGCCGGCGACGGTGGCGGGGAGCGGCGCCATCGCGGCTGCGGCGCCGGCACCGACGGTGCGACTCCGCTCGAGCCCTGGCGGTAGTCCAGCGCGCGGCGCGGCGTCGCGACGAAGATCGCCGGTCCCTCCTCGAAGCGAGCGTCCGGCTCCACCAGCAGCAGGCGAGGCGGAATCGCCCGTCTCCGGGGTCCGTCCGTTAAGCGCGGCGCCGGCGGCGGGAAACGAGCGACGTCTAAGATTACGCCCGCGCGAGTGGCGAGACGCGGCATCGGGACCCGCAGAGGCATGGCGTGCGGTCGAGGGATCGAGGGCGAGGCGCGCCGCTCGACTGCGGTGACGCCCAGCTCGTCGGCGACGAGGCGTCGAGCCGGCGCGTCGCGCGCTCGCAGCGCCAGGCCGTAGCGGAAGTAGCGGTCGCTGTACACGACGGTGGCCAGGCGGCCGGCGCGCTCGCCCTGCAGCAGGTTGTAGACGAGGCGCTCGGGCGGGCGCGCCCGCCGCCACAGCCGGCGCAGCGCCGCCAGAGGACGCCGGGGCGGCCGCGGCTCGTAGGGCGACGAGTACAGGCGGCGCGGCTCGGCGGCGGGAGGCGCGTGGCGCAGGCGGCGCGGGCGCGCTCGTCAGTCGGCGGACAGCGGCCGCGCCCGCCTCGCCGCCTCCAGCTCGTGCAGCACCTCCAGCACGACGCCGGAGCTCCAGGCCTGCGTCCGGCACGAGTCGGCGCAGTGGGCCCCGCCCGCGTTGCACAGCTCGGGCAGGCCGCGCCAGGGCGACGTGCGGATCTCGGCGAGCAGGGGCGCGAGCGCGGCGAGCACGGAGGCCACGGTGCGCGCTCGCTTGCCGCACTCGGGCGCGAAGACGAGACGCGCTCGCAGGTAAAAGCCGAGCGGCCACACCCACTCGGGCCCCTGGTGGTAGTTGAAACCGTGGGCGACGCTGGGGTCGTCGCCGTCGTTCGAGTTGTCGTAGTCGGGGCGGTACGCCCAGTCGGCCGGGTCGAGAGTCTTGACGCCCAGCGGACCGAGCAGAAGGCGCTCCACCTGGTCGAGGGCGAGCCAGGCGTGGCGCGGGTCGAACAGCTCGGGCGCGACGACCATGGCGATGGGAAAGTTGCAGCGCAACTGGTAGTCGGCCCAAGGTTTGGAGGCGCCGTGGCTGTCTTTGTAGATGGCGCGGCGGTGCACGAGATCGGGGCGCAGATCGTGCGAAGAGGGCGCGGACGGCACCCAGAAGTGGCGCTCGAAGTTGAGGCGGATACGCTCGGCCCACTGCTCGAAGGTCCAGGACGTGAGGCTGCCGTCGCGGTGGCGTCGCACCACGCCGGGGTAGGGGTAGCGGCCGGCGCGGTGCTGCGCGGCGAGCCAGCTCACGACGCTGTAGGCCAGACCGACCAGCTCCACGGCGCTGCCGTCGCGCGGCGTGGCGGGCTGGCCGCGGTTGCCGGCACGATCGGACGAGCCCATCTTGTCCATCCAGGTGCCGCAGTTGGCTTCGTTGCCACCGAAGGGGAAGCCCGTCTCAGGGTCGACACCGATCTGCACGTTGAACCCTTTGTCGGACATGTGCGCGTCGATAGCGCGCCCGGCGTTTCTTTCGCGAAACACGAGTCCCTGCAATTGAACGTCCGCTTTAACCCGATGTCAGATGCAAAAAATGGAATGCTTTTTTCATCATATCGATATATAACCCGGGAAACCTCGTTTGGCATACAATTTATTTAAAGACTCGTAAATAACTGGCATTCACAATACAACGACAAAAAATATGACAATTGGCTGAACAGTCACAACGTTGTGCCCGATTGTGTATTTTTATTTAATATTAAATGTATGTGTGTATGTTTATATAGTGTGTATGGGTACGACTTTACTTTGACTTCCATCGAGTTGGAGTCTGACAATTTTTTTACACAAAGGTTACATTATTATAAGCACACACGTAAAAGATTCAACACGCGGAGACGCGTAGTTTTTGAGAAAAACTACGCAACAACGTACATATGACAACTTAACCTTAGTTAAAACGAAACGTGTCATGGCGAAAAATCTATATAATCTGTGGTAGAGATTTACAATAATTGACGTAAATATTGCGAAAATAATTGATTTTCAATATTTTTTTCTCATAAACTACGCGTCTCCGCGTGTTCCGTGTCCGTATCAACCTCCAACTCGATGGACGTCAATGTAAAGCTAAGCCTGTGTATGTACTGTATACTTTTGGACTTCTATGTAAGTATAATAATATATGTACAGTCGTCACAAAATAAGAAGCCCGTTTTGACATTTGTCATGGTGGCGTAACTAGTGATTAACGAATATACGACTCGGTGCACGATGCTTACGATAAATCGATTCAAGCTTGTAGAGTATTTGATTGATTTGACTATATATCACAAAGTGCATTGGATTTAAGTTATAATTAGAACATATAACTTAAACTTTAATGTTATAGGCAATTTGAAATGATACAATGGAAAGAAATGTCAATTTGTCTTTAATTTAAAAATTTAGCTCAATCACAACAAAATCAAGAAAAGTGAAATCAATCATTTTCTTCTGATGACGAGCCAGATGAGCTATCGTCGCCTGTATATATAATTATTTCATTTTCTATAATATTATCAATATTGACGTCTCTATCATAATTTTCCTTTATTATTTTTCGCGTCTTTTCTACCACTTTTGCCAAAATAACGTATCTGTGAAGACGTATTGCAAGTGTTTTATTCACCAGCTTATAAATACCTTATTCCCTCGAGCATATGGTCCATTTTCGAACCGGATTTTATGAGTTGTACCGATCGGCGATCGCTGTATCGAGAGAACAATAGCATTCCTGAGCGGATTATCTTGCTAACATCGAGTGTTTTAAGCAAATCAATAGCAAAATAATCTTTCAAGTTTTTATCTATTTTGCTTGGATTTCGAAGTTTCAACTTTTTTACGCATACGCATTTGTACCTACCTCCAACATAAAAACGCTAATGGTATATCAGAAGGAATTAATAGAAAACTAATGATATGTTCCCGACTTGATTTCAATTTTCGGAATTTCTTGAATGCAGGTAAGGATCGTTGGAAATGATAGGCACTAATGCCTCAAACAAGGTACGTACACCATCGAAGTTTTACATTAAACCAAAACAAAAATCGTTTCACGGGTCAGTTAATAATAATACAAATAATTATTCCATAAATAGTATTAAATGAAGCATGTGTAATGGCGAGCACTATTTATACAACTGTAAAGAATTTTCTCAACTTAATGTAAAAGATAGACAGGATTTTAAACAAAAAAAAAAAATTCTGTTTTAATTGTTTTTCTTCATCTTATCTAGTTATGAAATGTCGTAACTCTTCGAGTTGTAAAAAATGTGGAAGAAGGCACCACTCTTTATTGCATCTAGAACGGGAGTTGAGCAATAATAAAAAGGGAGACAGTGAGTTAACCCAAATTGTAAGTACGCCTATTTCAAGTAATTTTTCAACTAGAGGTTTCGAACCCCGTAATGTTTTGTTAGTAACCGTATCAGTATGGGCTTATAACATGCAAGATTACAAGCAACCATTGCAAAGGTTACTAGATCAAGGGTCTTTTAAAAATGAATCGGTTGTACAATTATTGGGGTTGACACGAAGACATATAAGTGGGACAATCTCTGGTATAGGTAATGGTGGCCACACCAATATTACGCATATGGTATCACTTCATATCGAATCACGCCATAACCCAGGAGTTTTATTAAAAGTAAATGCGTATGTTTTGAGATCGGTAACGTCATTAATTCCATCAACGAAATTACACACACCTGACTGGCTCTATTTGGATGAAATTCCACTAGTTGATCCAGGTGATGCCACACCTGGGGGAATAGATATTCTTGTTGGAGCTGAAATATACAGCGAGATGATATTGGACGGAATTATACATCATAATCAATTATTGGCACAGAACACTACCTTAGGTTGGGTATTATCTGGGAAGGTGTCAAATAATTCAAGCTCAGGTAACGTATGTGGAGATGAACTTCTTAGGAAATTCTGGGAAATGGAAAACGAGCCAAACTGCATACAGAAGAAGATGTCAAAGATAGAAGAGTAGATTTGACAATGAATCTCCCTTCTTCATCTCGTGAAGAAGGGAAATTTATTGTCAAATTACCTTTCGACAAGGAAGATCCAGTGTCAGTATGGGAAAACAGTGGCTATAGCAACAAGAAGATGGAGGTTTTTAGAGAAGAAACTACAAAAGAATCCTTCATTAAATGAAGAATATCATATAGAATCGATCAAAGAAGAGGATATAAATAACCCCAAAGCAGTTTATTTACTACACCATCCTGTAGTCAGAGCGGATAAGGATACTACTAAAGTAGGTACGTGTAGTTTTTGACGGTTCTTGCAAAGGAGTTAATAATTTTTCTCTCAATGACAACCTTTTGGTTGGTCCAAAATAAGGCTTAAGACAAACAGGACTTAAGACATATACTCATCTAACACTTTAGAACAAGCTATAACTATCTATAACGACATGAATAACTTAATGTGCTGTGTAGGGTTCGAACTCCAGAAATGGAGTAGTAATAATCGAGATTTATTGAGATACATTGGAAAGAATAAACAAACAAGTAACGATTTATTAAGAATAAAAACATCTACTGTCAAGAAAGTACTTGGTTTGGTGTGGAATAGTTTACAGCAAGAGGTCATTGTGAGAACTTATTTAGTGACAACGGCACGAATTTTGTCGGCGCTAACAAACAGCTGCGTGAGATGTTTGATCGAGCTAAATCAGATGTACCCCGTGAAATTGAAGACCTATTCAGTTTAGAGCACACAACATGGCACTTTATACCCCCCACATGCACCCAATTTTGGCGGCCTCTGGGAAGCTGGCGTGCGTAGCGTTAAACATCATTTACACAGAGTAGTCGGCGATACTACTCTCACCTACGAGGAGTTATCTACGGTCTTATCCCAGGTTGAAGCCTGTCTCAATTCGAGACCACTTACAGTTATGAGTGATGATCCTAGTGAGCTTCAGGCTTTAACTCCTGGTCATTATTTAATAGGCGAACCGTTAATAGGTATCCCCGACGATGATTACTCTAACAGTAATATTGTAGGACAAAAAATCGTAAATAGCTTTTGGAATATTATAATAAAAGTGAACAGTTTCATAATTATGTTAAAGAATATTCGAAGCTGTTTAGGAAACTTTCTAAACTGGCTAAGTCTCGTTTTATTAGTTCAAAGATTAAAAGTAGTAATGATAAGATTAAAACCACTTGGAAAATTATTAATAGTGAAACTGGCAAAGATCCAAACCGTGATAATGAATTTAATTTAAACATAAATAATAAATTTATCACATCAAATGCTGAGGTTGCTGCTGCATTTGAGAATTTTTTTACTAACATTCCTGTATCAACTACTAAATCTTTGAACTCCTCACCATACCTTGCAGAATCAATTTTAAAAGAGAATGTTAGAAGAATTGATAGTGAATTTAAGTTCCAATATGTGTCCCCCTTTGAAATTATTAAAGCCTTTAACACTATTAATGTTAAAAAAACAACCGACCTATGGGGAAATTCTGTTTTAATTACTAAGACAATTATATCTCTTGTGGCTAATCAATTGTCATTTACATTTAATCAATGTGTTGATAGTGGTGTATTTCCTGATCTTATGAAGTCTAGTAAAATTATTCCCTTATTCAAATCTGGTAGTACATCTGACCCAACTAACTTTAGACCTATCTCAGTACTACCAGTATTTAGTAAAATTTTTGAAAAAATTATGTATGATCAATTGCACAGTTTTTTTAATAATAATAATTTATTGCACAATAGACAATTTGGTTTTACAAGGGGTCGCTCCACAACTGATGCTAGTGTTGAGCTAGTAAAACATATATTTGATGCCTGGGAGGATGCCCACGATTCTCTAGGTATCTTTTGCGATTTATCTAAGGCTTTTGATTGTGTTGTTCATGAAACGCTGATCAGGAAATTACAGCACTATGGTATCAAAAATAAAGCCCTGGAACTACTTGCCTCATATCTATGTAATAGGATTCAAAAAGTTGATATTAATGGTGAGCGGTCTCCAGGCTCTGTGATAGAAATGGGAGTTCCACAGGGTTCTATTCTCGGCCCTTTTTTGTTTTTAGTATATATTAACGACTTACCTCACTTTGTCAAGGACAATCTCGAGATTGTGTTGTTTGCAGATGATACATCACTATTATTTAGACTAAAACGGACACTTTCTGATTTCACATTTGTAAACAGCGCCATTTCGAAAGTGGTTCATTGGTTTGATGTCAACAATTTACTATTAAATGAACAAAAAACTAAGTGTATACGTTTCACTATGCCAAACGTCAAGCCAGTGAAAACTACTGTGATAATTAAGGATGTCGGGCTGGACCTTGTGGACACTACGACATTTTTAGGTATAACACTAGATGCTAAGCTACAGTGGGGCCCACATATTGATAAATTGTCGAGTAGACTCAGCTCAGCAGCATACGCAGTAAGGAAAATCCGAGAGTTGACTGATGTTGATACAGCACGACTTGTTTACTTCAGTTACTTTCATAGCATAATGTCGTACGGTATTCTGCTGTGGGGGAATGCTGCCGACATTCAAACTATTTTTGTGCTGCAAAAGAGAGCTATTCGAGCACTTTATAATTTAGGCAATCGTAGTTCATTGAGGCAGAAATTTAAAGAAATAAATATAATGACAGTGGCAAGTCAATATATTTATGAAAATGTAATATATGTTCACAAAAATAAAGATAGCTTTTTGAAAGAAAGTGATGTACATGCCATAAATACCAGAAATAAAAATAAATTTGTTGTACCCGCCTCTAGGCTCCAAAAGATAAACAAGTCTTTTCGAGGTCAATGTGTCCGATTTTATAATAAAATCCCAAATAATATTCAGGAGTTGAGTATTAACAAATTTAAATCCGCAATAAAACGTGGCTTGTGCCAGAGGGCCTACTACTCGATTGTGGATTACATGGAGGACAAGAATGCTTGGGATTAATTAGCGCTATGTTTTTTATTATTTTTTCTATTTTTTATGTTTCACTTCATTTTCTCTTGTATTCGTTTGTTCTTCTTAATCTTGTTTTCTCTTCGTTGTTTTTTCACCTTTAAGTCCTTAATAACGGACATACTAGCACACATCAAAACAATGTTGTGATATATTTAATAGTGCCATTGTATCTACTTGTGAATTGCAAAAGAGTGGCCATGAGTTTGTTTGCCCTTTCTTCTCATAAGGCTCAACCCCTTGGAAACGGGCGGTTGTAGATCGGCACAGGCATAGATTTTGTATGGGTTTGATTTTGTTAAATTTATTTGGTTACTATTTGACAAAACAGAGATTGTTGCTTTTGTGTGTGTTGATCTATGACTTTAGAGTCTACATGGAAGACGATTTCAAACAATTTTGAAAATTTTATGAAATAAAGAAAGTTTGAGTTTGAGTTTGAGTTTGGAAACGGTGGTAAAAAGAGTATTTACTTAACCTTAATCAACGATAAAAGTGGAAAACTAAGCAATCTGAGGTAGGTGAGGTAGTTCTTGTAAAAGAGGACAATATGCCACCTGCTAAATGGATAATGGGTAGAATTGTCAAAAAATATTAGGGACCTGATAATCTATCTCGAGTAGTGTCTATTAAATGTAAAAATGGTGAAATTAAACGTCCTATGAGCAAAATTTGTATGTTACCAAAATAAATTCGATTACTTGTTTAAATCACTATAATGTTATGTTTAAGTTATCTATTTGATTGCAACATTAGTTACTAAGAGATGTTGTTAAGTAATTTTTTTTTGTAACATTTATCTTGATTTCTTTACTTTATAACATGAGTATAGTATATTCTTTTGTTCACTTGATATATTAAAGTACTGCGTCCTTTGGTGGGCGGTATGTCTAAATATCATACTTTTGTTTCTACTAAATATAATATATAATAAATATTTTGTCTAAATATCATACATTCACAAACATACTGTGCTCACACATTCATACAGTCCATAAGTTCTACGCTGTTAAGTATTACTTTTAGTACAAATAAAATATCGTATCTGTGAAGACGTATTTTAAAGCAAGTGTTTTATTCACCAGCTTATTCCCTTATTCCCTCAAACACATTGTCATATGATAACAGTCGTAATCTAAATAAAATTAAACATTAATAGGGTAACGTAACCTCTACAATGACATCACAAGATAGTCATCATTTGAATGGGAGAGGTGTACTTGATGGACTGACAGCAAAATATCAATATTTGGCTTCAGTTTTGTTAGGAATAACGCAAATTTCCCCGTTCCGTGATATTCAATCTGCTCCTTTTTTTGTTAAAAGGTTTGTAACGACACTTAAAACTGTTTCGACCATATATGACGAGGGAAACGCTATCAAAAGCTTTATCGCAATTCCCTACAGTCATTTTTCGGGTATTTCTGCCTGCAGCCAAAATGTTTGATACCCTCCTTTAAATTTCACCTTCAGCTCCTCATTAGTGCTAAGTTCGGGTTGCCCCTCTTGTAATATCACATTCTCCACTTCCGTTTCATCAAATGGATATATAATCCATAGTGGTATTTTCACCGTCAAAATATCTTCAAATATGACTTTTATGTCATGCACGCAGGGCAATTATATGTATGTCCGAATAGAAAACCAACAGCTACGAGTCCCCATTTCAGGCATGACAATAGATAACAGAAAGCCAATTAAAAGTTTTCACGAGTAAAATAACAGGATTAGGTATCGCTGTAAATTCAATAACACTCATTTCACGAATACGGCATACAAATGTATTCATTACGGTTCGTTTGAATAAGCTACTCTCCAAATAAGTTATGATTTAGCAGTTGCCGTCTCACTTTGTATGGTGTAAGGATCGAAATCATTTTTTTAATATATTCTTTGCATAATATGTTGCAGTCTTTACTTGCTCGTACCTTATAAGAATTAATTTTGTAATTTGAAGATGATTGGGGGATTGACAGTGGAGGGTTATAATATATATTATAACATATCTGGAACATTGAATTTAATTGGAAATCGATTTCTTTCATTTACAAATCAATTTGTGTATTATTTTAGAAGAGTAGGGTATTCCAATGTATGTACATGCCATTCATGTTGCGGAGATGAAAATGTTAAGATGGATGTGCGGCGTAACCAGAATGGATAAGATCCGCAACGAATACGTACGAGGAAGCCTGGGAGTCTGCGACTTTGCGGAGAAGCTGCTAGAGTGTAGGATGAGGTGGTACGAACATGTTAGGCGGAGATCACTCGATTACTTAGAAACCAGGCACTAGAATAGACTAGATATGTTGCTGGGAGATATGAAGGCATGTCAGGTTTCGGAGGACGACGTCAGGGACAGGGCGACCCCACTACCGTGTGAGACGAATAGTCGGGAAGAGAGGGAGAGGGTATTCGAAGTTGATGACATATAAATTTTATAAAACACTGAGAAACATATTCAAAATGGCTTCTGTTCAGTTTTAGCTTTTTTGAAGCATCCGGAGAGTCTTATGCGGTACTGATGAGAAAATGTTCATATCATCCGCATCACAAAGTAAACTAATTTCCTGAACACCACTATCATATCGCGCTCACCTGGAAGTGAACGTCCAGCGCCTCCTGCACCACGTCGTGCAGCGGCTGGTCCGCGGCGCCGGGCGGCGTCGGCTCCGCGTCGTCCTTCGGGAACAGCCGCGCCACCGCCTCGCCCAGCAGCGCCGCGCCCGCCGGCACCTCGCTGCAGTACTGCTTCACGCTCTGCAGCCACCACCACACGGCGTCGCGGCAGTTGTAGCGCGGCGCGCGCCCGCCGTCCAGCAGGTTCGGGATCAGGCCGTGGCGCAGGCACGCGCTGAACGCCAGCAGGTGCGCGCGCGCGTCCTCCGCGCGACCCGTCAGCAGCATGACGCCGCGCAGCGCTATGAACGTGTCGCGGCCCCAGCAGCGCATGTACCCCACGGCGAAGTGCGGCAGCCCCGCCGACAGCGACAGCGGCCAGGCGCGCGGCGGGGCCAGCGCGGGGGAAGCGGGCGGCAGCGCGGCCGAGCGCACGGCGCCCAGCAGCTGCACGCTGGTGAGCGCCAGCGCGCGGCGGAACGAGTCGCGGGGCGCGCCCAGGCGGCGCAGCGCCGCCTCGCACACGGCGCGGTGCAGCGCGCGCACCAGGGCCGCGAAGTACGCGGGCACGAGGAAGCGAGGCAGCGCGGCCAGCGGGCGCAGCGCGTCGCGGTAGCGCGCCGCGACGGCGGCGAGGCGCGGCTCGCGCTCGAGGCGGCGCCACAGGTACTCCGCGAGCCAGTCGCCGGCGCGCAGGTTGTCGCACAGCGGGTGGCCGAGATCGTCGCTCGGCGTCACCGTGCTCAGCAGCGACGCGACGCCCTGGGGACGCGCACCGAGGCGTATCACTCGATAGCGTTATCGGTCGCCGATACCGATAGAGCTCCTACAGCCCCGGATCTACGATTTTTCCTAACCGGGGCAGAGACTCGATAGTGGGCGTGTGTGCCGCCTTTTTCTTACGAGTCTTATGTATAGCCTACATATTCCAAATGGAATATGTAGGCTATACATGTTATATATGTCGCAATTACGTAATATCCGAAACGCCAGCGCCACCTGTCGGCGCTTGACGGAGTCAATGTTTAAAGGCCGAACGGCTCACATGAACACTTGTTGCGTGGCAGTCGGACAGAGCGGTCGCATATTGAAACCGTCACGCGTTCCTGGCGATATACGTATCTAGCTATAGTTGTGTAATAATCTACATTGTGAATTTATTGGAAATTATAATTCAATCAAGTAAACTAAATTGTTTTGTTGCGCCAACATTACCCATCGACGCCCGCAGTTAGTAAGTGAGGAACTATGGGCCCTATTGAGGATAATGATCATACTACCCCGTCATATAAGTTGTTGTTTTGACAGGAAAATTCAAAACGATAAGTCGATTCGCTTACATGCGAAATGGAGTTTCCTCTGCATCCTTTGCATTCCACAACATCACAGACTAGTTCCTTGCACGAGTTACATTCGATCATTTCGAAAAAATAGCAGAGAAAACGGTGATCTAAATCGGTACGGCATCTGCGGGTATACTGAAATTTTTATCGATACTTCGATACGTTCTAATCGTTCGATCGGTCGTTCGGTCACACATTCTAATCGGTGGAACGGTGTAGATCTGATCGGTGAAAAAAAAATTTTGAGAAGCGACCGACGCTTTCGTTCTATTTTGCGACGGTTCATTTTCTTTTATCGACGGCCGGCGACGAGGAGACGACAAAGATAACACGCGTATGGCCCGCGCGACGCGTACCTGCAGACCGGCGTAGACGAGCGGCCCGTGGCCGGGCACGTCGTACACGCCGCCGCCGCCCGCCTCGCGCTCCTCCGCGTCGCAGCGGTACAGCAGCGCGTTGAAGTCGGCCGGCTCCAGCTCGGCCAGCGCCGGCCCCAGCGCGAGCGGGTCGGCGCCGCCCGGCCGCAGCGCGCGGCTCAGCTCCGCCAGCGCCGCCGCCTGCGGGGCCCGCGGCGACACGCGCAGCGCCACCACGGAGCCGGGCAGCAGCGCGCGGAACTCCAGCAGCGTGGCGCCGCCCTCGGCGCGCTGCGAGGCGAAGGCGCGCGACTGCGCCAGCGGCACGCGCGTGCGCACGAGGCACTCGTACTGCGCCAGCCCCGTGACGTAGCGCGGGTGGCGCGCGTGCTCGCCCGGCGCCCGCAGCGCCTCGCCCGTGCTCCTGCGAACGGTTCGTCGCCGCTGTACATGCGTATGACGATGGTCGGGGGCCGGAGCGCGGGGGACTCACTCGTAGTCGCGGTGGCGGAGATCGGCCTCGAAGATTATCTCGTCGAGCTGCCCCTCGAAGCGTAGCGGCTTGACGGGTCGCGCCGCGCTCGGGGCGGTGAACGCCGTGAAGGCCACGAGGATCACCGACTGCAACGCGAGGGCGCGGTGTGAGGTTTAGCTCTATAGCTAAATCTGTAAGTGCGTACGCATCCTATACGCGCGTAGGCCGAGACCGGCACGCGAATCCGGTATTATATAATTACCTGACGAGTGTGCGGTTCGTGTCTCGTTACGGCTATCACGTCGGCGTCCATCTGGTCCACGTACACCTGTTCGATGCATAAAAATGATTTTAAAATCTCTCTCGGAAGACGATCACCGGACGTGAACGTACCGAAATCGTGAATCGAAACGAACAGGTGAAAATCGGACCGCAACTCTTTGGGAAAGGATAGAGTGCGGCCAATAGCGATAACGAGAGCAGCGGTGGTGTGATAGTTATTACATAATATTTATTCGTGGTCAATATTTTACACACGAGTGATAATGAAGAGAACATAAACAACACCGTAAATGCTATGCTTATTTTAAATAGGTGGCAGGCGTGTGTAAAAAAGATTATCGCGACACAGGCCAGTGCCTACACATATGCGGCCTTCGAGAGCGGCGCGTACCTCGTCGTAGCCCGCGGCGGCGAGCTCGAGGTGCAGGTGGTTCAACGCGCGCTTGGCGGCCACGATGCCGCTGGCGGCGGACACGCGCGGCTCGCCCTCGGCCTCGGCCTCGGCCCCCGAGCCCGCCTCGCCCTCGTCCCACGCCGCGTACAGCCGCGTTTCGTCCACCACGTGGACGTGGTGCGGCACCAGCTCGTCCAGCCTGCTCGCATACGTACCTCACGTTTATATCTCAGTTTATGGTTAAATAAGCACAGAGACTCGAGTACATTTCTACGTACGGGGCGCGTAGTCTTCTTTCGACGCGAAGCGCATCTAAAAGAAATCTGCACATCTTCACAACTAGCGGTGATCGAAGACCGTAGGTCCATCGTAGCAGATAGGAGACATCGCTCGTTCGTCCGTCGACCGACTCAAAGATTCGGATAGAGCACGGACCCGAGGGAAAGCTAGAAAAGGGAGAAAAGGGGGTACCCGCGCGTGCTGCCGGTGGCGCAGCAGGCCATGGCGACGAGCGCGGCGCTGGGCAGCACGTCGAACACGCAGCGGCGCTGGAGCGGCGAGGGGTTGTCGTGCGTGAGGTCCAGCAGCATGGCGTGCGCCACGCGCGGGGCGGCGGGGGCTCGCGGCGCGCGGGGGAAGGCGCCCACCGCGCGCCCGCCGTAGCGGTGCACCAGCCGGCCCTGCTCGTGCGCGTCCCACGCGCTCTGCGCCTCTGCGGACGTCATCGACCTTCAGTTCGAAGCTCCACTTGCGCTACGTCTCCCGTATCGCGGTGCGCGTGCGTCGATTACCTCGGACGAGCGAAGTGATGCCGAGGCGGTTGACGAAGATGTTGTCGACGTGGTCCGAGTTGGTGAACAGCTCCGCGACCACGTACAGCTCCGGCTTCACGTTGCGCGCGCTGTCCAGCATGTACTCCGCGACCTGTCGTTGCGCACAGAGCGTTCGTTAAAGGTGATAGGTAGACCCGCCCGACACCCGACCGGCACCGCTTCTCGGGTGTCCACTCTCTATCGATCTCGGATTCGCAATATATCCATGAATCTGTATATACGCTCGGTCTAAGTTTAAATCGGTGCGATGCCATGACAATTTAAAGAGGCGGGAGGCGGAGCGGGAGAGGGCGGAGGGTACGCACGTGCAGCGGCGTGGAGTGGCAGTTGTCGAGCCGCACGCCGTCGAACACCTCGGCCGTGAGCTCCACGTACTCGCGCATGTGCGCCCACAGGAACGGGCTGTCCTCGGGCTTGTCGCCGTACCTGCGCCGACACTCGCATTAGTCAGTGCTCCCGCCCGCGACTGGCACCCGACGCCGGCCTTGCACGCACCTGAGCTTGACGCTGTCGCCCCAGGCGATGAGCTCCCTGCGCAGGTAGACCCTGGCCCCGGCGGCCTTGGCCGCAAAGTCCTGCAACGGATCGGCATCCATGACCCATCCGTTGTGCGCCATGCACAGGCGGCCCGCTTCCGAGTACAGTACGTCCTCCACCTCGCTCAGCGAGCTGCTCTCCACCGGACACGCCCACGTGAAGTACCTGCGCCGACAAGTTACACCAATACTTTTCTGGTTCGCCGACAGTTCACGGTTCTGACCGAAGCCTCATCATACCTCGGCACGAGCGAATGTTTATCGCTGACCTCTTCGATCTTCGGACCGTCGGCTTGCAGCCTGTAGTATCTGAAACGGGACAGAGAATCAATACGGTTCGAGAACGATTCGACGAGAAGCGGTCGGTAGTGGTGTGGAGCGGTACCGTATTCCCGCGACGACGTTGTCCACGGCGGCTCGCAGGTGCTCTCGCACTTCGTCGGCGGCCGCCTCGTTCAGTTGCTCCAGCTTACGTTTCATCTCCTCGCAACACTTCTTCAACCGAGATTCTTCGTCGTAGCATTCCGCTCTGCAAACATGCCGTACCTTCACGTTACATTAAATCGTCTACCTCGTTACTTTACTGACATCGACACTGACGCAGTGGTACATATGTATATCGCTGACACCAAAAGAAATTGGAAAGAGGAAACCGATGATGGTGGGCATTAGTTCGAGTAGGCTCGACACTCGGCACTGTATCATAATACTTTCACATATTCACCGAGTGATGCGAAAACCGAGTTCAGTTTGAGTTACAGTGCGAGAAGCGATCGAAGTGATCAAGACGAACAGAAGAGTAACCTAGCGACCATTTCGAACTACAATAAGTATTTACTTATTTTTGTATATTGTATTTAATTATTTTAGACATCACAAGGTATTAATTTCCAAATTAACATACCGGGACACGTGACAACACCAAGATATTCTGAACACACCGTGCATGCCTTTTATATGTTTACACATAAGTTTTAAAAACATAATATAAATATGGAATGGTGAACAGTAGGGGAGTGAAAGTCGGTAGATCGGCACCTGTAAACGTTGTAGAGCTGTAGCGCCAGGTCCATGTCGACGGTGGCGCGCAGGCGGCGGAACTGCGGGTCGGGGACCAGCCGCAGCTCCTCACCCCCCGCACCGCCGCCCGCACACCCGCCCGGCGCCGGCACCCTGACACCCATCACATGTCACTTGGAGCGACTCGACTGATCGATCGACTCATTTCGGAGGAGTGCGACCACAAACACCGCGATAATATAGAGATGCCACGAATATTCGGCAACTATTCGGTATTGGGCTATTCGGCCATTTTTTCTCACTATTCGGTATTCGACCGAACAGTAAATAACGAAAAAAAGAATGCATAATATTTCTCACAAAGATTTTAAATTGACCAATTACTTGTCATATTAATAAGTAAGTCATGATGAATAATTTTGTTAGAAAGCGATTGCGCTTTTCACCATAAATTTTATCTGGTTCGGAAAATAGGCCCTCACTGAATATACTGCTTCCAGAAGATGATAAATAAATCTTAACACAATCTGTTGAGTTAGGATATCGTTTTGTGTTTGCTGTGTACTTTACTGATGCAGGTTTATTAAGCCCTATCACCCGCGGAATGTATTAAGTGTTGCCCGATTCGCCCGCCGTATATTCGGTGCTTAGACTCGCCGAATATTCGTCACTCAGTATTCGACCATATTACGATTCGTGGCATCTCTAAATATTTATATGTTATTTAAATTAATGAATTTGTGTCAAATATGCACCTCGGTTATACAAAGAAGCTCATCGTCTAAATACGACATCAACTGACGCAAATAAATTTGATTCAGCGAATGCCATGATCGTAATGGTATAACACCGGTGAAAGGTAAACCGTTCGATCGAACCGTTTTTAAAAGAGGGCTTTCGAAACCGTCGATTCGGTTCCGAGCCGGGCGCGGCTCGACAGTTTCAAAAGATGCTCGACGGTCCATCGCTATTCACGTGAACGGCGAAACAACGGGAGAGACACGCGCTCACTTATTTCTGGCCATGCAGTAGAACTCCTGCACGAGGTCCGGCACGTCGCACGCGTACATCTCGTGCAGGCGCGCCTCGGGCAGTAGGTGCGTGAGCAGCAGGTCGCGGAGCGCGTCCAGGTGTTGGGGCGCGCTGAGGCGGCGCGGCACCCCGCGCGCCTCGTGCTCGCCGCGCGCCACGCCGCCCGACAGCCGCGCCAGCTGCGCGTCCAGCAGCGCCGCCGGCCGCAGGTGCGGGCAGTTGCTGCAGTTGTACGAGGCCTCGGGGTGCGCGCTCAGCCACGCCGACTCGTTCGCCGTGTGGTTCAGCACGATGTCGCAGATCGACAGCATCTGTCGAGTCCGCTTATCACGGTTTAGCACTTTTCGCAGCGATAGCGATAACATAATATATGGAGGCTCTATGGAAAATACACGCACGATTATTTTTTTGATATCACCGCGCAATGCTTCACACGATGTTTTTATTATTTAATTCTTATACTTAATACTTATACGCGGAAAACCGAAACGCAAAATAACGAATAAACTGAGGTACACGAAATGAAGTCGACGTACTTTCCATTCCGTCCGCATCTTAGAGACGAGGTTCTCGACGTCCGCGAAGGTGGCCTCGCAGCCCGCGTCGGCGCCGAACGAGGGATTGAGGCGCAACTGATTCGCAATACTGTAGCCGGAATTTGAGGCGCCGAGTTCCTGGACGGGCGTGAAATGCAGCATGTTGTAACCGGACTCCTTCGCGACGCGCAGTACGGACTCCCATCGTGGCAGCGGCCCCAGGCACTTGGATAGCACAGTCTGGCACATGAGCCCGTCCAGCGGTATGGTGTCGCGCCCGGCCGGCCCCACGCGCAGCGTCGGAGCCACGTGGAACCAGCCCGAGCCCTGCGGCCCGATCGTTGACTCACTGCGCACACAAAAAACGTATCATGCACTTAAACAACATTAATGACGGAGTTCTGAGGGAACAAACCTTCTCTATTTCTTTTAGTCAGCTAACGTGGTTAAGTTATAGTTCGGGTGGTATATCGTATATGGGTCAGAACGGCGAAGATTGTCGAAGGGAGGTCCTAGGACCTCTTCTGTGGAACCTTGCGGATATGACCGTCCTCAGGTCCAGCCTTGACCAAGGATTAAGTGTCGCCTGCTAAGCGGACGACACTCTGGTACACGCTGGGGAGCATGACTACCAGGAAGTCTTGGAGCTCGCCGAGTTAGGGGTGGCTTGTGTCGCCCAAGGGATCAGCGGTCTGGGTCTAAGGGTTGCACCTCATAAGATTGAAGTCCTGTGGTTTCACAGGAAACGCAGAGGTGCAGTTCCCACCAGCACGCTAATTAAAGTGGGGGAAACAGCGTTCGAGGTCGAGCGGCCTCACCTTGGACAGCCACTGGAGCTTCGAGGAACATTTGGAGTGTATGATCCCACACATGTGTCTAGTCTAGTGGTATCTCTAGTAGACGTGTGCATGTGAATGTTGTACCGGACATTGTAGGGTAGGTCGATACGTACGATAAGTAAGTACGGTAACGAAAAGTGAATCTTTAACTTGCAATTTTATAGTTAAGTTTTGAATTCCTTCAAGTCTTTATGGGAACATCTTACTTGTTAAAGATACTCTATGCTCAATAAATGTGTTTCATTTACCTACTGGGCTGGCGTGGTGGTCATAACATCTATCGGCTAGAATATTAAAGACGCAAAGAGACATATCACTTGAAAAGAGTTGGAAAAAATTGAGAATATTCTTTATATTTACATAAATACAAGCACAGTAGTATAGTTATACTGACGCATTGTCGTAGACGAAGTAGTAGTGGAAAGAACCGGCCCTCGTGAGACTTAGTTGGCAGAAGATATCGGTATCGGCGACAAGCAGGCCCGTGCCGAGCGGCGCCGGCGACTCGCCCTCGGTGCCCTCGCGCCTCCACTCTAGCCCGTAGTACTGGTTGCGGATAAACTCGCCTACACACGCCTCACTCGCCCCCTCCTCCTCTGTACGTAATCAAACACAAACTAGTACTAACCTCCTTGATTACTTATTGTGTGTGCATGTGGCATTATTCAAATTATACTCACGGCTGTCAGACATCACATAATTGGTGTAGAGGAACACTTTTCGTCCAAGTAACGAAGGACCCGGGCAAAATTGTAAATAGCAGCCCTTTTCGAATCTAAAAACAACAAGTAAGCCTCTTTTATCTGCAATTAAAACATTTGGCAAACACCAAGCAGAATGCTTATTCTACTGTGTGTGTTAGCATAAGTTACCTGTATAGGGTGGAGTCATTATGTTCGCCGTGCTCGAGCGTGAGGACGTGGCTCGACGCGGGCAGGTCGGGGCGTGGGGCACTGGCACGCGTCTCTGCAGCGCTGGCGGCCGGCGCCGACGCCATCGTGCAGCGCTCGATGGCCATCTGCCTCTGCACCATAACACAGCACACGTTAGTCATTCTCTCTGCCCTGTTTGTCAGTATGTACTCACTGTGCCCTCCCAGCCGGCGGAGGCCACAGGTCTCGGCACTGACCGTTACAATCAAAATTTATACCAAGTTTAAGCAAACGCAACTGAAGAATTTTTCAAAAATATATTCGAAGAGCCTCGAAGCACGCAAGATACTCCATCTAGGGAAAGGATTCGGTTTAGAAAGAAGATTGACCTTTTCCATGACGGCCTTCTCCTGCACTTTCCTGCTATAGTCGCTCTTGTCACGAGTCACCATTTTAGGCATATCGAGTAGTCACCGTTTACGAGTACCCATGAAACAGCACATTCAGACTGACAGCAGGCGCTGGCGCTACCTCCCTTATATAAACACGGTACGCAATCAGCGTGACGAAGTGCGGTTGGCGCCGGTCGCGATCCGAGCCGGAGTTCAGCCGCAGGCATTGTACGCTGTGTTGGATTTCAGTCTTTTGTCTCGTCCGAGTTGTCTATTTAAACAATGGCCATTTATTTCTTTAATATATAAGTAAGTATATATAAATGACACCAATTTCTTACGTTGATAGTTGATACTCACTTAGTAAATGTAATAGCACGTCGGAAATCGTAGAATCGAGAAAGTATACGAGATACCAAATCCAAAGCGTCAAAAACAGCCCGATACCTAACAGCGAAATCGACTATATTCTGTAGGGGTAGTTTTTATTGTATAGTGGTAGGTTAAGGTATAATAAAGTACCCAGGTACTACGTGCACATGAATTACCGCAATGTGTGACACTTTGTAGAATAGAGTGGTAATTGTGCCTCATATTAGTCATCTTGTATTTATTTGTCAAAGGGAAAATGGTGTCTATCTACTATCTACCCTGTTCTACTGTGGTCATAACAAGGATCCTTTATACTTGCAGCATTCACTTCAAAAATCTTGGAAAAAATCAACAGTGTATACATTAGATATCGTACCTAATGAACTATTAAAAAAGTATCATGGCTAAGTTAGCTCGGTTAGTTGAGGCAGGGTGGTATCGCAAAACACGCTATGGCTAGAAATATTTCCTAATAATAGTTTAACAACGTTAACGCAATGTGACAGAGAATATCTTAAGGTTAGTAAAATATTACCTTATCTATTTAATCATTCTGATAAGTTTTAAATATGTTTCACCGCGTTATTTAATTCCCTCTGTGTATTCCACGCGTGTGTAGTTGACATCGGTGGCTTGTAGAACCTAAAATTCTATAATATTTATTTTGTAGAAATGCCATACATTATAAATTTCATTACATACTTGATAATAATAAGCTTTGGTTTTTGTAGGGTAATCTATAAAAAATTGCAACCGAGAATTGTATTCTAGATTGTTCATATGAATAATAAACTCATACTTATGTAATTAAAATGTTTGACACATATTAAGGACAAGTATATAATAGTTGGATTGTTAAACATAAAATGTACTTCCTCGTACTAGTTAGAATAATTTACACACATAGCTGGGAGATTTATTGATAAGATGTTGTGATAAGAGGGATTTCTCGATGTACTTACCGACGAAATAAATATCAAAGGTCATTGTTCCATTCGATATATTAGGTATTGGTAACTACCTGTATTTGTGTGTTGGTTGTAATGTAATCTTTTGTTTTGTGTCTCATAGCGTAGTGGAATGGTGATCGTCCGGCTTATAAACAGTTGGGGTTTGATTCTGGGTTGGGTAATTATGTTTTTTTTTTTTTTTTATATTTCACCCGGACCTAAATGTCGCCACTCCTTTCCGTATTTTTTTTAATTGCTTCGCGAAAGATGCCGACTTCCACACCTGATTTCACCTAGTGTCTGGGTGTCGGATCTTTGGCGCTACATGTGTCAATTCGACGCGTTCCAGGAAACTGGGGGTTCTCCGTACGGCTTAGGTTCTCCGTGCGGCTTACATTTCTCGAACGGCTTACAGTCTCCGTACAGCTTACGTTCTCCGTACGGCTTACGTTCTTCGAGCGGCCTACAACACCACCGCTTGCAATCACCGCACGACTTGGCCTCGGTCTGACTGCGGAACACCACGCGACACGGTCTGCCGTCGCGAGCCTACCCGGATCACCGTGAACCACAGGACACCTTCGAATTCCCCCGAAGACTGGGGAAGTTCCTCGCCAGAAGACCCTCCCCGCGTTACGAAAGCCGATAACCCAGATAAGTCCCCAGTGCACATAGGTTCAACCGGAAAGCTTCCTGTGCCAAGAAGTCACACCCTGAGACTTAAAAAATATTGTAGTATAATTAATTGAATTTGTTTTTTTTTATTAATCTAATTATAATCTAGTATTTGTGTTTTATTTGTGCCCGCCGACAGGTGGCCGGAACACTATGGACGTAGAAGAAAAAAAATGGTATCAAAAATTAGTATATGACGTGAGGTAATTGTGTATGTTTAAATGTAATTTGTGCGTCAATAAACTGCGAAGATATTTCAGGTTTCCGCTGCGACAACGCTTGGTCATTTGCTAGATTTCATATAAAATTCTTTTGTGTTTCAGACGTTGTTTTGAATTTGTTTACACTGTTTGTAAAAACAGATTTAAAAAAACATACCATTCAGAAGATAATAATAATAATAATAAGACCCTAAATAAATATCAAGACCCTACACAATCGCGAGACATGCAATCTCAAAGAATATTTTCAACATACCGATGTGGGGTGCATCGCAATGTAGTTGCAGTGGATATCGGATTCACCCCGCTCTCTCTGGCTAAAGAGAATTGCCCCAAACCAAAAACCCTACGATCATTAGTACTAAGTACTACATACTTAGTACTAATGATCGTAGGGAAGTATGGTAAAGCAAAGAGCTCCATGGCCGGTTTTATCGGGCCCTAAACGGGTTCGATATAGACTTTAAAGCATCTACGACTAAGTTACGGTATGGTGATCTCTTCGGAGAAACTGGTTTGTTTGGTGAAAAGGTTTTGTTTGTGCGATTATGGACGATGTTATCATGACGAATAACTATCGGAAATATATCCTAAAACATGGTACGGTTAACATCTGTCGGGCATGCCACCGTCCTGGGGAATCAATCAGGCATATTATTTCTGGTTGTTCTCGTCTCGCTAACGGTGAATATTTGCACAGGCACAACCAAGTAACCAGGATCGTACACCAACAGCTCGCCCTTAAATACCAACTTGTAAATCTAGAGATGCCAGGTGGTATATGCCCGACCCAGTTCTCAAGAATAGTCGGGCCACGTTGTATTGGGATCGACCTATTATCACAGATAGGACTATTGTTGCCAATAAGCCTGACATTATAGTGATAGATCGATTAGAGCGCTGCGCAATGATTGTTGATATCGCCGTTCCTCATGACGAGAATCTCGTGAAAGTTGAAAAAGATAAACAAATAAAATATTTGGATTTATCTCACGAGATTGTCGATGTGTGGAATGTCGATTCAGTGATCATTGTTCCGATAGTCGTATCTGCTCACGGATTGATAGCCAAGAGCCTCGACCAACACCTTAAGAGGCTCACGTTGGACGGCTGGATCAAGGGTCTGATGCAGAAGGCAGTCGTCCTTGACACCGCTCGTATAGTGAGGAGGTTCCTATCTTTGGAGTCCTAACTACCGGTGTCCTGGTCCCTGTACCCGATGTCGGTGGCCTACTATTTTTTATATTTTTACATGTATTTTTATTTCTTATATTTAAAAATCCAGTGCAGTATATTTAGGTAATATTCTAAAATTAACAGTATAATACCGGTATTAAATTGGTATATGGCAGTCTGTAGCACATAGAACTGTGTCACTGTGAGGACATCGCAATCGCTATGAAGCACTTCAGTAGAATATGTAAATGGTTTGGATGTCATGACTCTTAAGACACCTCTCTGTGCACGCTCGACTGAAAAGAGGTATTGAATTAATAATATTTTGTAAAGTGTGTGTGTGAGTTACGGGACAGTAACATACCTCTTTGTGACGAGCAGTCAATCTTGATAAACAGCAAAACATTATGAGTACAAACAACTTCACATTCCTATCACTGGAACGACAATCTAGTAATAAGCACGAGAAAAAACTAGTAAAATGTTCTAATCTAGTTTTCTATTAGAGTAGAAACGCTTCAAACGAAATTCAATCACATAAAGAGTCATAAATGTAGCAGTGTGACGATCGCGGCATGCCTAGACACAAGCAATGCTACGCACTACAAAAATGACCTTTTTACCTTTGTACCCTATCTAGATATTACTATTTACTACGGAACTATTCACAACGATAATTTTTAAGTCATCGCTTTTATGATTTTTCAAGCCTTTATTAGATGTGCAAGCTGTCAACCGCATACATCGTGGAATAAAAGGGATTGCACATCGCACGGTGCTTTCAAGTTACGGCGCCTTTACTGCTATGTCCCAGGCATCATCATAACTTATTTTGTAGGCACTATATTATAGGCACTATACTACTATATACTATATTGCACTAAATATTTCCAAATTAATTGGTTTTTGTTACATACATATGTATACATTGCAGGAGTAAGATAAAAAAATCAAACTCATACACTCTAAACTCCTTAAGTAAGTGTGAAATGGAATATTTATCAATAATAACTAAAATGTTTTATAACGAACTAGAAGAATTACACTGTTTATTTTTTTCTGTTGCAGATGATAGAGTTTTAGAAGATAACGAATGTACCCAAGAAGATGATATGAATGACACTGACAAAGACAGCGACGATGATGATGATGATTATGAAGATGCCTCTTTTTTTTGTGACGTCAATATAGGCTGAAACAACTTGAAAAACTTAATATTAATTATTTATAATTTACATTTAGTAATCAGAACAATTTAAATAAAAAGTGTTGTTTTTTAAATTTTAATCTAATTTTATATTCCTTTTTATGCTTAAATTTTTTTTGAAACTTGCTGTGACTAGAATGATGATTATTATTATTCTTA